GTGATGAATTCTAAGTACTTTAATCTCGTGACATTATTGCATTTCGATTTGCATGCTGGCATATTAAGCAATTGAAGTTACAATTTACTAAAAGAGAAAAATTGATATATTTTCAACCAACTGTTAGTTTAATATCGGAAAAAAAGAGAATAGGCAATTTCTTATTTTTCACGGTTAAATGTACTTCAGAGTTTACAAAGATGATTTGTCTTGAGACGAAACACTTCAAACTCAATAGATTTCTTTTGCTCGCGATTGGTTTATGGCCTCACCAGAGATCGAAACTTGCTCAAATTCAATTTATCGTACTTTTTACTATTTTAACAACTTTTATTGTATTTCAGGTGATAATATATCATTTTTCATAAGAAACAATAATTAACAGACTAAAATTCAAAACTTATTAATCACACTAAGGAATTATTCTTTTCATATGAAATTTTCAACAAAATTACTTATTTGCAGTTTACAACGTTTTTAACATCAAAATGCACTGTAGATCTCATTATCAATGTTCTGTCCTCCGCATTTTTCTTCATTTGGTACGCGATTAAATATCATTCGTTTTGGATTAACGCCAATACTGTAAGTCAAATATTTATTATATAGTTTCCAGACAAATATTCGTGATAAAAAAATCTTCAAATATGACATTTTTTAAATATTTTATACAAAACAATATTATTGATGTAATAGATCAGAGTTTCACTAGACCAACTTCAGCATATTTGTAACGAAATAAAAAATAAAAACGAAATTGCTATCATAGAAAAATATGGCCGTATAGGAAAACGTCAAACAAGAATAATTACGAGTAAGATAATATATATATGCTTACATTTTAATGAATTAGTAATAACAGTAAAATAAAGTTTAAATAAATTTTACTTAAATAAATTCTTGTTTCTTATACATATATGTATATCATTTACTTTCTAATTTAATGTTAGTTCTTGCCGCATGCTGCATATCTATTTATCTCTTCCTGCCAATGTGGCCTCGTATATCTGATGTAATTCTGGCTATAAACAATTCCCGATCACGCTCTGCAGCGATTCATATTGCAACAGAATATTTTGTTGATCAAGAAAACTTTTCCTATTTAATTCTATTGCATACGAGCGCAGCCTTGTGCATAGGGGGAACTGCAATGACAGCAACAGGCACGATGCTGATAGCATATCTCAAACATATTTGTGGAATGTTTAGCATTGCAAGGTAGAATTCAATACAATCATTTGTTTTATAAGTGAAATCTATTCTTTGTTTATTTTCAATCAGATCTAAAAAAAATTAAGAACTTACAGTAAAAAATATGTATTCATATAGTTTCCGTATTAAGAAGGCAATGGCAATTAATAAGCAACAAGATGTTAATGAAGAAAAAATGGTTATAATTTATAAA